CTGCAGGAGGAAGCTTCTCTGATGATGGCTGAGCAAGATACTGTATGGCAGAATGTTGTTAGGAGTCATTTTTATTGCTACATTCATTTAGCAGAACGGTATTTGATTTTCCCCTGAGTCTATGTCCTATCTAATCTCATGTTTGTGACCACCCAGGCATTGTCAGGCATGTGCTCCATGGAGTGGGACTCAATTCCAATCAGATAGCGGTTGGTTACTCCCATAACTTTTGTGCAACTATTGTACCAGCGTATCTTGCAGGTCATGATTGTAGATCAAGACTAACAACTCTTTGAGGGCAAAATTCCACCTTAATCATTGCATTTCACCACTGCCACAGAGTAGATCCTGTAAGTAGTCACCTTTCTGTTGCTGTGATAAAACAACATAACCAAGGGAACTTAGAAAAAGAAAGAGTTTATTTGGGCTTATGGTTCCAGAGGGAAAGAGTACACAATGGAAGGAATAGGAGGCTAAGAGCTCACATCTTGAACTATAAACACAAAACAGAGAGAGAGTGAAGAAGAAATGGTGCTGGTCTTTTACTCTCAAAGCCCACTCCCAGTGATTTACTCCAACAAGGCCACACCTCCTAAGCCTCCCCAAACAGTGCCACCAACTGAAGATGAAGCATTCATATGCCACAGACTATGGGTGGCATTTCTCATGCAAATCATAAACAACTCTCAAAAGAGATTGTTTTTGTTTGGTGCTTGTTTTTGCTTATTTATTTGTTTGTTTATTTTAGAGGTCTCACTGTGTTGCCCAGGCTGGCCTCAGGCTTCACAATCTTCCTCCCACTTACCCTCCAAGTGTTAGGATTACAAATATGTGCCTAACACTTTATATACATGGATATCTGAATCCACTAACAAATTTACAACGTCCTCAATAAACACTTATAAGAAAAGCACTTGTTTTAATATCATCATGAACCTATGGATTGAATTCTACTAGTTATATCCACACGTATTCCTAGAATATTAAATACTTGTTTGAACACATTTTCTGCTTTTGGATTGACCTCTTCCTCAGTCTGTTTGCAAACCTAATGAAGCACTCTTATCTTCTTCTAGGTTTATCAACTTCTAGGCTTTCAATGTCATTAACTTTCCAAATTTGTTTACCTTTAGCTGTCTCTTCCATTGCTAATTTGCATTCATAATTTCAACACCCTCTGTGCTGGCTAGATTTATGTCAACTTGATACAAGCGATAGTCATCTGAAAGGAGGGAACCTCAATTGAGAAAATGCCTCCATAACATAGGGCTGCAGGGCAGCCTATAGAGCATTTCCTAAATTAGTGGTCAATGGGAGAGGGCCCAGCCCATTGTGGGTGGTCCTACCCCTGGGTTGGTGGTCCTAGGTTCTATAAGAAAGCGGGCTGAGTAAGCCATATGGAGCAAGCAAGTAAGCAGCACCCCTCCATGGTCTCTGCATCGGCTCCTGCCTCCAGGTTCCTGCCGTTTGAGTTCCTGTCTTGGCTTCCTTCAGTGATGGACTACAATGTGGAAGTGTAAGCCAAAGAAACCCTTTCCTCCTCCCTAATTTGCTTTTTGGTCACAGTGCTTTGTTGCAGCAACAGAAACCCCCAAACATCCTCTGATATGATTTTAGAGTGTGTCTATCAGTTATCTGTACTTTAAAATCAACAATTAGAAACTCAAATGATTTGCACAACTACTCACATTGACTTTACACAAAATATGCATATACCGAGACTATACTTTCTTGTTTGCATAGGTATATAATAATGTACAGGTTACCTGCCTCATTATATAGTTGTACAACCAAGGTAGAAATGATGGATCTCTCATACCCCATAGATATCTGTGTCTTCATGTTCTTTACCTCTGATTTTGTTTTTCACAGACCATTTTCTTTTTTCCTCAGTCATTCATTAATTCTTTCATTTCTGCAGTGTTGTGGATTGAGCCTAGTGCTTTGCACATGCTAAGAAGCACTCTACCACTTAGCCACCTCCCAAGCATACACACACACACACACAGAGATTCCTTCTTTTTCATGGTTTCAAATCTTTAAGAGTAGGTATGACAGGAAGATAAAATAATGACTCTGCATTAAAGGAATAAGAAATTGTTTATTCTAAACCAAACATGAGTGATGGTGCCTTGGAAACTCAGATTCAAGACATCTTGAATGACCTGCTGTTCTAAAGCCAAGAGACAAGGAAGGTCATCTATTGATGCAGTTAAGAAAAGCATTTTTTGTGGGCATTGTGTAGGCTGGCTGCAGAAAAGGAAGGTGGTTTTAGATGATATCTTGTTATTCTTAGCCTTAGGGTTACTCAAGGCTAGAGGTCTATGAAAGTGATAGTCCAAGAGGTAACAAGAAAGTTAGGTCAGATATAAGATTCAGAACTGGCCATTTTTTATAAAGGGTCTAAGATAACTCTAGAGATGTAACATTCTACCTCTCCATAATTGTGATGCTTGCAGGATCTTTAATGAGGATGCGGCTTCTTCTGGTTTACAGTGGGCTAGTTCCAGACCTTCCAAGCTGCTTTCTCGTTCTTACTCAATTTTGTATTATTGCCAACTTGCTGTTTCCAACAGTTCCCAGACCTCAAGGAAAATGCTTGCATTTCTTGATATGTATTAGTAGGTTAACCTTCTCAACTAACGTTCTCTACCAAAAGTGATTTTATAGAAAATACTTAGTATATTAACCCAATAATTTAAACCTCCAGGAAATTGCTTCTTATGACAGATATTCCCATTGGGGTGCACAAACCCTTCATTGGAGTGAGTCCAACATAAATCAGCTTCAATAGCCATCAGAAAAGCCTACATATGGGAATGGGACAGAGACTTACTTGTAGTAGTAAACTGCCATAAGGAACAAACACCATGAAGCAAAATCAAACTATAGTACATTCAAGATTGGAAAAACATATACATGAGACTTTTCAGATGTGTTAATGTGACTTTAGGGTCCTCAAGCTCCCTTTGGGTGGGGTAGGAAATAAAAAGATATGCAAGTGTAATCATTATAGAATTTACCTATTCGTTGTCAGTCAGTCAGTCTGCAATAGCAGTACCAGTGGTTGATTAGTGCTTCCTGAATGATGGATCTCTCACTCCCAAGATGCTAGCTTGCTTTTAATGGGCATGTAATCAGAAGCTCCGAGACATATCCAGATGGTCAACTATGTCAAGAGGACGAATGGAGGAGGCATACTTGTATGTTACCACATTTGCCGGTCACTTCACAATTTGTTCATTCAGTATTATAGGAAAGGCAGTGAAGATCCCCCCGAAGAAGTGACTTTGTCCAGGGTGACGAAACTAAGAACAAAACTCACTTTTTTTTCTTCCTGCTACTAACATGTGAAACAACAATCAAGTCTGTATTCTAAAACTATGAGAGAATTAAATTAATCAGAATTAATTTCAATGGCTTTAAATTAAAGGAATGTGTCTCAGTCTGTTACCAGGGGCCTGAGTTAACTCAATTTAATACCTTGTTTTCTTTTCTTCACTGCTCCAGGGTATGCGTCTGTACTTTCTTCCCTGAGTACCTGGGCGGGCAATCAGGCCATAGTTTTCTGTCTTTATGTCAGGCAGAAGGGGTTCAATAAATATTTACCAAATTAAGTATATATATATATATATATATATATATATATATATAATAATTTATGAGAAAAATGTCTAATATCCAAGCATTGTTTATTTCCTTTCATTGTTTACTGTTTTCTTTGCTTTCTAGTTCCTATAGAAATCTTTTTCTTTGGTTTTGGTTTTTCGAGACAGGGTTTCTCTGTATAGTTTTGGTGCCTGTCCTGGATCTCGTTCTGTAGACCAGGCTGGCCTTGAACTCAGATCTGCCTGGCTCTGCCTCCCTAGAGTGCGTTCGCCACCACTGCCCAGCTCCTATAGAAATCTAATGTGATTGGCCAGGGTAGTTCCCTGTACCCCTAACCATGAACCTCATCTCTGTACATTTAAAGTTGTAAACACATTCTGAAGACACTATGATGATCCTAATATATCTTTCTTAGAAATGTGAGAGGTGTTTAGAGGTAATAAGGAAAAATGAAACTCTTGATTCTGGTCAATAGGTATTTGAGGGAGTAAAAAGAGATTGGACTATTAGAGAGAGAAAGACCAGAAACAGAAATAAATAGCATCCAGGCAACAGAAAAATGGATCTTGCACAGATTGGGCGCCTAGACTGGAAATAAAAAGCTAGGTTTTTAATAGAATTGTAGCATTTTGGGTTCTTCTACAGAATTGTAGGTTCTTTTGTTGAATTGTATTAGAGAAGATTAAAAATAAAAACATAATTAAAAACAAAAATTAACAATATTAAAACACTAACGTTAAAAATAGAGCTGTGTTCACAGCAAGATGTGTTTATTTTGTGCCAAAGGGGTCACTTTCATTAAAAAGACTTAGGTGTTCAACTTTGCTATTCCGTTTTTAGTAAAGAAGTCTTGTTGCAACCTTTAATTACTATCACTCTTCTCACCTGGGCTTGAAGGAAAAGAACATTTTACCTATTTGCAAGACGGTGATCTTGATGGAAATTCCAGGCCGTTTTATAATATGGCATGAAAACCTCAAGTGATGGTCAATTTCACTTCGTTTGGGCTCTCAAGTGGACTGTGGAATCAATGACTTCATCTGTAGGTCTCAGGCTTGCTTCCCAAACCTGTAAAAAAAAAAAAAAAAAGCGATCATGGTAGAAGGCTGCACAAATTCTATCTGACTTCGCCCTCGACTGGGGACTGTTTATTTCTCTGGCTAGTTCCCCGGAATCGGTGCTTGGGCCTCGACCGCCCCACCTCCCGGGACCTCGGCTGCACCCCCCCAAAAAAAACCCGCGAATCCCGGGCGTGCACGCCCAGATCTGGTTTCTGAGTCCGGAAGCCCGCGGCTGCAAAGTCCCGGCTCGGCATCAGCTGCTGCCCCGCCCAGCGGCACCTCCCGCTCTAGGCTGCAGCTTGGCGGGGCCGGGGGCGGGGCGGGGCCTCGGGTCACGTGGGGGGGTCAGCCCGCCCCGCCCACCGCTTCCTGAACGGCGGGGTCCGGCCTGCCGGCGTACGCACGTGGCCTGCCCGTCTTCTTCCTCCGCGACCCCGCGCTGCAGCCATGGCTCCCGGCCAGCTTGGTGAGGCCCTCGCGGAGCATGGCCCGGTTCTGCCTGCCCCAGCCCCGCCACCCGCCCGTGCAGCTGGGGAAGCCCCGGGGCCGGGCCTGCAGACTGTGTGCCCCAGTGCTGGGCCCGGGCTTGCCATCGCATGTCCCCTGCCCAGACCCGGGAGATCGCCGTGCAAAAAGCCCGCGAATAATGAGCAATGCCTTCTGTTTCAGCCCTGTTCAGCGTGTCTGACAAAACTGGCCTAGTGGAATTTGCCAGAAACCTCGCATCTCTTGGTTTGAGTCTAGTCGCTTCCGGAGGCACGGCCAAAGCGCTCAGGGATGCTGGCCTGGCAGTCAGGTAAGGCAGGAAAGTAGTGTTAAAGGTAAGTCCAGGGAGAAAAACGTTGTGACCATAGTAACCCGGAAGAGATGTAATCCAGGCACTGTGAGAAAAATAACCTACTCTCTGTAACGCAGTGAGGCCCATACGACCCTACTCATTTGTGGAAAAGGAAACTCCCAGGTAACAGCATAACAAACAGTGAGGGGTTGAAAGTTGCCTCAGAATTAGAGAGATTTGATCTTTACAACCCTAGCACTCAGCCACTGTTTTCAAGCAAATCAATTTAGGCAGGCCATTTGTTATGCAGAACAAACACAAATTCTGTGTGTCCAAGGAAGGCTTGGCTTTAACATCATGATTTACAGCTGCCTCTTCCATTAGCATCCTGTAACCCTATGAAAGCACAAGTCATTGGCTCGCTCACAAGCCGCTCATAAGCCGCTCATCACCTGACGACTAGGCAGTGGGAAGGGATTGATGGACAAGAGAAGTCAGGAGATGATCCCGAAGGACTGGAAGATAGAAAAGGAAAAAGATCTCAAGGACAGGAAGTTCAGAGGAAGGACACACTTACCGCTGGGATAATATTCAGATAGAAAACAAAAGACCTGTCTGTCTTGGTTGCCATAACAATTCTTGGCCTATGGATAATTCCTGGAGAGGTTTATTATCCACCTCTTTATACTCTTGTCTGTGTGAGCAATACGTAACCCCTCTAGATTCGACAGCTCCAGACTGCAAGAATGCTGTTAACTTCTTAAACAAGTGTTTCTCATTAGAATCTTCTTGCATCTTCTCATGAGAATCCGGAGCATCAGGGACAGCAGACAGCTAGGCTCTTGTGAGGTGCAGTCTCTGAGTCCTGTGCCCAAGTTGGTGCCCACCATTGTTGCTGTTGCGTTTCAAACAAATCGAAATTATGAAGTATAAGGAGTCCTTACATGGTGCATCACCTGATTTAAATGTTTATCTGATGGTCACTCATTCCCATGCCACTGCCCAATCCCTGCTTGCCCCCATTCTGCCAGTAGCTTTTTGATTCTTATTCTTTTGGTGGTATTGAACATTGACCTCTTTTGGTGGTATTGAGCATTGACCCCAGTGTCCTGCCTAGTCAGCCACTGAGCCATATCCCTAGCTCATCTTTCGTTATTTTACTTTAGAAACTTTTTAAATTTAGAACCAAGGTCTCTTGAGTTGCCCAGGCTGGCCTTAAACTTGTGACCTTCCTGCTTCAGCCTCCTTGAGTGAGTGTTGGATTGTGGCTATCTTTTAAAAATGGAGAACGTTAGTATATTTCCTGCCGAGAGTGAGTGTGTGTGGCCTAAATGGTTTATTTAGAGCCTGGCTCGGTCATGTTCACTGAGTGGAATGTGGACAAGTGGGAGACTTGTTCCATGATTAGTTCTTACAGTTGTTGTAACATCTTTTCTTGATTGTCCTTGTTGGACAAGTGCGTATTTGAAACACAGGCACAAAGAAGTAACTTGTCCAAGGTCATGCAGTTAGCTAAGAAAGAGGTCAAGATTTTCTCCCAGGAAGTTGACCAATGCCCTGGGCAGCAAACAGATGAGATTACCATTAGTGAGGTGCAGTAGTGAGCCGATTGCAAGCTTTATATACAGATTTTTTTTTTTTTTTTTTTTTTTTTTTTTTTTTGGTTTTTCGAGACAGGGTTTCTCTGTGTAGCTTTGCGCCTTTCCTGGAACTCACTTGGTAGTCCAGGCTGGCCTCGAACTCACAGAGATCCGCCTGGCTCTGCCTCCCGAGTGCTGGGATTAAAGGCGTGCGCCGTATTTTTATGGCATTTTTTGTTGCTATTCAGGCATTCAGGAAGGGAGTTGGTTCTCTCCCACTATGTGGAGCCTAGGGATTGAACTCAGGCTCCAAGGCAGGTTCATGTCCCCCCATACACACACACTTTTTTTTTTTTTTTTTTTTGAACTGAGTCTCTCAATGGACTGGAAACTCTTCAGTTTAGACTGTCTTACAATGTAGCCCCGACTGACCTAGAAGTCCAGATCCTGTGACCTCAGTCTCCTAAGGGCTAGGAATTCAGGTGTGTGTGGCCACTCCCAGCAAAGGCCTCTATCTATTAGCCATTAGACTAAATTCCCCTACCCTCTGTGCATAGTACTGAGAATTGAACCCAGGCCCCCACATAGCCAAGACAAAGGCTACACAAGCAAGTAATATTCCCAGCTCTTGTAAAATTAAATTCGTTTTTCTCCTTTTTGGTTTCTGGGTGGTCTTGTTCGTTTTATACAGGTCCTTGTGCATTTGAGATAAACTTTCTACACTGAGCTATACTTCTAGTCCAAAGATACGTTTAATGTTCGTTGTTGTTAGTTCTCTATAAATGACTCTCCATTGAATTTGTTTCTTGATTAAAGATATTGACTTATGTCTCTGGAAATTGTAAAGCCAATGCTTTCATACCTAATTGGTTCTCTAAAAAACATATCATTCAGGGCCGGGCAGTGGTGGCGCACGCTTTTAATCCCAGCACTTGGGAGGCAGAGTCAGGCGGATCTCTGTGAGTTCAAGGCCAGCCTGGGCTACTAAGTGAGTTCCAGGAAAAGGCGCAAAGCTACACAGAGAAACCCTGTCTCGAAAAAACGGGGGGGGGGGACGGGGGGGGGGGGGGACACGACGACACGGGACACATATCATTCAGAAAACACAACATTTTTTGTAAAATAAATAAAATTTTGGAAATCTAGCATAGTGAAAAAAATTTAAAGGTTTAAAAAATTTAAAAATATACTTGTTTAAGTTGGACTTGAAAAAAAAAATCTCTCGGATTGAGTTTAGTAAACTTGGTGGGAGATGCCTGAGGAGTGGAAAATGATAATTTCGTAACTGTTTTCGTTACTCTGTTTTCAGAGATGTGTCTGAGCTGACGGGTTTTCCTGAAATGTTGGGGGGGCGTGTGAAAACCTTGCATCCTGCTGTCCATGCTGGTAAGTGGTTGACACCATCCGTTTACAACAGATACTGTAGTTAAGAGCTTCGAAGGACATAGGAAGAAGAAATAAGTCATAAGCTCCAGAACAGTGTTTTTAAAACGTTGCGTTGGTTTTATCAGCTTTGCCTTCTGATTTCATAATCTGTTAGAATCCCTTTGGAAGATGACTGACGAGTGCAGATCGCTTTCCCCCATTGCTGTAGATCTTGCTCTGATGACTAGTTCAGCTAATCTGGATTGCAGTGTTTCCTTGTTAGAGTCTGACCGTAGATTTCTGCAGTAGTTCAGACTTGGACTCCGGTGTTAAACTGTAACTGACTCTCGAAAGAATGTGACTTTTGTTCATTTGTCTGGCACAGCAAACCCTCTAAACAGTCATAGCAGTAGGAAGTGTATTTCTGCTTTGCGAGCTGCAGGAAACCTTGAGAAGGAAGGCCAGAAAGCCTGGCGGGAGGGATGGCTGGGTCTTAGCAGTTGAGAGCACTGGCTCCTCTGGCAGAAGACCCAGGTTCAGTTCCTGGTACCTACGTAGCGGCTCAGTGTCAGGGGATCCACTTCTTTGTTTTGACCTCCTGGGTACCAGACATGGGTGGTGCACATACAGATAATACAGGCTAAACAATCATGCACATAAAATAAATAAATCTAAAAGAAAAAGGCTGAAAGCTAAGGATTACCAGTCAAGTCATGAGCTATTGCTTATGAAAATGTAGATGGAAAGACTGGTAGAGGTGACGTAAAAATTCCTTTTACAGTTTTTTGGGTTTGGGGTTTTGTTTGTTTTGCTGAAGAAAAGGAATTAGATTTGTTTTGGTTTTTTGAGACAGGCCCACCCTGAGGCAATACTAACTCAGACTCTACTTTGTATTCCATGCTAGTCTGGAACTCTTACCAGCCTCTAAGTGCTAGGGTCACAGGTGTGAGGCATCAGGCCCGGTGACATTTACTCGTTGAGGGAAAAGGTGTTCTGTTCTTGGTTGGTTTTGTTGTTATTGTTTTAATGAAATATGGCCTTGCTAGGTAGCCCAGGCTTGCTATCAAACCTGCTATCCCCCTGCCTTAACCTGAGTGTTTAGAGTATAGGCCTGCACCACTGTCTGTTGTTAAATTCTTTAATTTTTTGTTGTAGAACTCTTCAGCTGTGCGTAATGCTCTTTAAGAATATTAGGTGCGTGGTGCATTTGCACAGACCTGTAATCCTAATACTTAGAAGGCTGAGACAGTAGGATCATTTGAACCCAGGAGTTTAAGATGTAGTAGTGCACCCTTTCATCCCAGCATTTGAGAGGCAGAGGCAGGTAGATCTCTGAGTTTGAGGCCAGCCTGGTCTACGTAGTGAGACCCTGCCTCAGAAATAAAAAGGATACTAGACAGTTTTTACCTTGTGACTGATGGGACTACACAGCATAAACTAATTATGTACCTCCCACTTTATTGCATTAGGAATCTTGGCCCGAAATATTCCAGAAGATAATGCTGACATGGCTAGACTTGATTTCAACCTTATAAGGTAAAAAGTTTGAAGCTGAATTTTGAGTGAGTTAAAGACTTATCTCTAAGTCTCACTGTATAAATGATCTGCTGTCCTCAGGATATAAATGCTTTTCTGCATCTTCTTTGTGATACTTTTCATGTATGAGCGTTTTAATTTTGCCAAATTCATGTTTCTAAACTGTGTAACTTAAGTTAGAACAACCTTTGCTTTGTTGTTACTGTGCATTTGGAGCAGACATCCCACCACTGAATTAGACCCTCAGCCCCAATCTTTGTTTTTCAAGAGTTAAGATTGAAATTTCACTGCGTAAAGTCAACAAAGATACTGTTTTTCTTTAAACATCTGTGGTAGCTTTCTTGAGGTGTGCTTTGTGTATTATACAATTCAGCCTACTAAAAAGATGCAATCTGATGGTCTTCAGTATATTCAAAAGAAGTTTTGAAGCCATCACCATATTGATTGTTAGAAGCTCTTGTCTCCCGTCTGTACCTCCCGCCAAAGCCTCCTGAACTTGGTAATGTTCCTTCTCACTTTGTTACTGATTCCTCACGGTTCTCCCCTTCTGTGGGTTGTGTCTTGCTCAGTGGTGCCATTCCGACCATCACAAGTTTTGATTACTTCAATGGTGGCCAGTTTCTTTCTTTTGGATCTTGTGCTTTTCTTGTCGTACCAAAGACACCTCATTATTGTGATGACTTTTTTTTTTCTTTTTTTGCTTATGATTTTGTGGTTAAGTTTGTGATTCTAGGGTTTTGCCTGTTCGTATTTAGACAGAACCTCAATTGTGTGGTTGAAACTAGCTTCTAATTCCCCCCTTCCTGCCTTCACCTAGTGCTGGGATTACAGAGGTGTGCCATTTTACACCCAGCTCTGTTGATGGAGTTAATTTTTGTATCTGGAGAGGGTGTGAGGCGGAGATCTCATTTGACACATTGGGGACTGTCCCGTTGTCCCAGCATCATTTGTTGAAGGCTGTTCTTTCCTCCACGTGGTCCAGGCATCCTTGTCTCCGTCTGTGGTTACGCCAGTGCAATAGCTCGGCAGTAGGATTTGAAGTAGAGAGCCATGGGTCCTCCCGCTCCGGTTGAGCCATTCCAGGACCCTTGCATTCTCACGTGACATTCGGACTGCTCTGCAACACTTGCAAGGAAGGGAGTGGGACTTTTATAGGGTCTGTGGATGAATGTGGGGAATTACTTACTGCCTTCTCAACAGCAGAGTGTCTTCTAACTCTTCTAAAGCTGGATGGGAGCTTTCTTCCCTTTTGAGAGACATCGATTTTCTTTATTCCTTTTCAGCATGGTTTTGTGTTTTCGGTGTGTCAGTTGGACACCTTTGTCAGTCTATTCTTCAGTATTTGATTCCCCTCAGTGCTGTCATTACTGCATTGCTTCCTTGATTTCCTGTCGTGATTGTTGTTTGCTAATGTGTATTATTACAATCGACTTTTGCATATTGATCATAAGACCGGCAGCCTTGGCTGGACTCATTGATTAAGGCAGATAGGTTTTCTTCGTGTATGAACATCATCTCACTTGTATCCAAGACTGATGTCTCACCTTTAGTTTTCTTCATACATTTCTTTGGCTAAAACATGGCAAAATACTGAATAGAAATGGTTAAGAGTGAATATTCTTATTTTTGAGTCTTAGGAAAATAGTGGTTCTAAGATACCGATAACCATGATGTTAGATTTTTATTACATTTTATCATGTTGAGAAAATTCTACAGTCCTGAATTTATTGATGTCTTCTTTTTTTAAAATTACGAATAGAGAGTGAATTTTTCCTACTTTTTGTGCATTGAAGTAATCTTGTGGCTTTTGTCTTCTATGAATCTTACATTAATTTATTTTTTGAAGATCTTTATTTATGGGACACACATGCTTCCACCCTGTGGGTTCTAAGTATTAAAGTCGGGTCATCAGTGTTGGCAGCAAGCACCCTGACTTCCTGAGCCATCTTACCAGCCCCTAATGGATTTTCAGGTGCTAAGCTGACTGACTGCCTTGCTGGGGCGATGTCCTGCTTGGCTGTGGTGTGTCATTCTTCTCATTTTTGGGTTGGGCTGACAAGTTAGCTTTTGTATCAACCTCCATTAGAAGCAGTGGAAGTTTTCTTGTAACATGCTTGTCTTGTTTGGGATCTGGATAGCAGGCCTGATCTGGTGAACCAGGAAGCCCTCCTCCCGTTGTACTGGTTTCCACCAGCCGGGGTCATACTGTGGTCCTGGGGTGGATAGTCCTTTGACCTTCATGTTATACCATACTTGTGACTTCTCTGAAGGCAAAACAAGTATTCTACCCTTACATCATGTGCACAGTCTGTTGGGAAAGCAGTGTAAATGTGAATGTCCTAGGTAAACATCACAGTCGAAAATGAGATTTTTCTATACTTTTTTTTTTTTTTGCACCAAACACATTTGCATTTCTTTTCTTTTTTTTTTTTTTTTAAAGCAAATGGCATAGACCCAAATTTCTATACTCTTATAATTTTAATTTCTTCTTAAAATATTTTGTTTTGAGGTAGGAGTTTAACTGTGCAGCCCAGGTTGACCTCAAACTCTATTTAATCTTCTGAATGTTGGGATTATTATCACTCCCAGCCAAAATAACCAGTTTTGAGATTTAAATGGTTTAATAGTAATAGTTAGCTGAAGACAGTTGAGCCTCAAGCTTGCACGATGGTCTGGGGAGGACGATGTGTCCCGTGTCCAGAGTGTGTGCTGATTCTATGCTCTGTGAGTGGAGAGCCTCCAGACCTCTTTTACTTCTAAGATTTTCAAAATGTTGGGGCTGGACAGGTGGGATCAGCGCTTAAGAGCACTTGCTGTTTTTGTAGAGGACCCAGGTTTGGATTCCAGCACCCACAACAATTTGTGACTAGTTCTTGGGGGTCTGATGTCCTCTTTTGGCCTCCATGGGTCCTGAACTCATGAGTTACCTATACATCTGTAGGCAAACCCTTATGAGCAGAGAGTCAGTCTTTCAGAAAAGAATTTGAAATTGTCAGGCTTGCAGTGTATGTTTTAGGTATTCGTGGGTTTTGCTCACATTCTGAAAAGCTGTCCTTGACAAAGCTTGAGTTTTCCAGTGACAGCCAGTTCTCCTTGGTTGACAGAGTTGTCGCCTGTAACCTGTACCCCTTTGTGAAGACTGTGGCTTCTCCAGATGTGACTGTTGAGGCAGCTGTTGAGCAAATTGATATTGGTAAGTCGGAATAAACGTTTCAGAACTGGCAGGGGTGGAGATTCAATTCTCTTGGAGATTTTGTTTTTGTTTATTATTGAGTATTTGTGGTTTTGTTTCATGTTGGGATTTGCTGTTCATGTTAGGGACAGGGATTTGCTACATTGCCCAGGCTGGCCTCTAACTTGTGATCCTCCTGCCTCAGTCTCCAAAGTACACAAATTCTGATGATGTGTCCCACATCCAGCTTAGGAAATATTTTATAAATTATTTAGAAAATATTAAACTATAAACTAAATATTTTGTGTGTATTTTGTGGGTTCATGTGGGCTATTCCCCCTTATTTTTTTAAGTCAGAAATTAAGGTAGAAGTATTGTGCACAGTGACTAGAGAACTCATCAACTGATAGCAAAGTGCCAAGAAAAAGAATATATTTTGTCCTTCAAAGGTGGAGTGACCTTACTGAGAGCTGCAGCCAAAAACCACGCTCGAGTGACAGTCGTGTGTGAGCCAGAGGACTATGTGGCCGTGGCCACCGAGATGCAGAGCTCCGATAGTAAGGACACCTCCCTGGAGACCAGGCGCCACTTGGCCTTGAAGGTGGAGTACACTTCTGTAATCCTGTAAAACAGTGTCCATGTAGTCCGTGTGCCTGTCCAAGCAGTCTGCAATTCTGCTAAATATATCAGCTTTGCACACTCTGTTTGGGGCTTCTGTCCTTTTGTTAAATATGAAGATATCAAATATTAGGAATATTCTGTCAGATTCAAAGGCCGAAAGGTTAGTTGTGCTGTTTAGGGTTAATTGGGGGTGGGAGGCATGGGGCAGGGGCGGCGGGTAAGGCTTTGTACGTAAAAGCATTCCCAGTATCTCACAAAGTGCAATTTTTTGTAGGCATTTACTCATACTGCACAATATGATGAAGCGATTTCTGATTACTTCAGAAAGCAGTACAGTAAAGGAATTTCCCAGATGCCCTTGCGGTATGGGATGAATCCCCATCAGACTCCTGCCCAGCTGTATACGCTGAAGCCCAAGCTTCCCATCACAGGTAAAGTATAAGGAGTACGTGCTGTGTCCGGATACCTGGCTTTCTCTGTGTTTGTCTGGTTACTCCCGTTCAGAATATAAACTAAATTACTTAATACCTCTTGTAACCATCCAAAATCAAGTGCCAGTTGGACACTCTGCACAAAGTGTCAGCATGGCACAGCCTCTCATGCTGCCTGGTAAACCACAGGGCCTGGCTGATAAACAAAGCTCAAGCTGGAGGTACAGGGTTTTGGACATTTGGTGTTTTGGAAGACTTGAGGCCAGGTAGGACTGCTGGGACTACCAGTAAGAGGACCCCGACCAGTCCTGTGGTGCTCCTGTGACGTCACTGAGGCAGTGGAGAAAGCAGAGGGGAACCTGTGTATTGCTGTGGGTCGAGAGCCACTGTTTGACAAATATTACAAGACCTGATTTCCTTGATGGCCTGACAGGCCAAGTTGTAGTGGGCCAGATAGAAGTGTGACGTTAAATAACGTTGAGGGACCAGTGTGATTGGTCAGGGGCAAAGGTACTTGCTAAGCTAGCCTGGCGACTGGAGTACAGTCCCGGGTCAGAATGTCCCCTGAGCACTACACTCACGCCTCTACTTCCCCACACACATGCACAGACAATATAGTAAATAATTTTTAATTTAAAAGAAAAAGAAATGACAATGATGGATAATTCTGTGAGCTGGGAATTAGAAGTATGGGTTTGTAGTTGAAATGTGAACATGTGTCTACTCACTCCAGATAGGGGACCAGTAACAGACCAGCTTGTGCACCAGTGGTTTTTATTGTGATTCCTTAGAGAATATTGGAGAGAGGTTATTTATAGGAGCAGAAATGACTCAAACGGCCACATCACCAAAGCCCCCCCTGGCATTGGTGACAGCTCACAAAAGCTAGAAACCAGGAGCACATTGCACAGCTCAACAGGTTGGAGAACATCCTTTCCAGGCAGCTCAGCTGGTCTAAGTCTCCCAGTAGTCCCTTCACCTTCCATAGGTGCCTGGTAAATCTGCTCAGTTTCAGGGACTTCCTGTGCATAGCCACCTTTGCTGTAGGATGGACTGTTTCACCTCCTTTTTAAAGTTCTGTGTCCAAAACAAGAGTTTTACCTCGGACAAAATTGCTGCATGACGTATTGTAGAGTTAACAGAGGGATTTTCAGTGTTTTGCCCTGTCTTGTTCCCCCGAGAGGAGGGAGGGTGGGGAAGGGCAGAGGAGAGCTCCAGGTGTGGAACCCTAGCACCGTCAGGAGGGTTAGCACGAGCTGAGAGCCCGGGCAGCTTCACCACACTCCAGGCAAGCCACACTGGCCCACGTTTTCCTGTTGGGAAGCCGCAGTTCTTCTGGTGGCTGCTTCCATCACAGCCCAGGGAAGGGTGAAGAGAACAGGGTGGGGGGTTGAGTGTTTCAGATGCTCTCCTCTTATCCCTCCCATCCAGGGAGCTAAGGATCTGTCACTGCTCTGCCACAGCCACATCTTGTACTTAATGATACTAAGTCCCTCAGTCACCCCAGGGTCTCCCAGACTGTGCCTAAGTCCCTCAGTCACCCCAGGGTCTCCCAGACTGTGCCTAAGTCCCTCAGTCACTCCAGGGTCTCCCAGACTGCCACTTCTGCCTACAGTGTGCATCAGGTGATGCTGCCTTACTTAGAACCCTTCCTTGGCCTTCCATACTCCATAAAGTACATCCCCCTGCCTCAGATCCGCTTCCCCAGTCACTCTACCACTCACTCAGCTCTGCTCCTAGCACAGTGCAGCCTCTACTCTAGGGTCTTCATGTTGACAGACCTCTTCACTCAGGCTTGCTCCCCCTGGCTCCTTATGGTCTTGGCTGCTTTTTTTTCAGATCTCAGCAACCCAGACCAGAGTAGCTGATTCTCCCTGTTGTCACCTCCCCCAGCTTTGCGGGTTCTCCCATTAGGGTGGCAGCCCCAGAAGCAGAAACCTTGATTGCATGTAGAGTCTGTGTACTTCGCGTTTTTATAAGAATTTCCAGGGCCGGAGTGTCACCTGCACTCTGAGAAGCTCTGTGTTCACGCTCGGCACTGAAGAATGGTTTCCATGTGTGTGTGTGTGAGAGTCTCCCTTGTTCCTGTGTGTATAGTACTTCATTCTTCCAAAATGTAAAAGGATTATTTGTACTCAGGGCAGAGGAGGCCCCGGGCACGGAAACAGCAGCTTCTTGCAAGACATTCATTCACAGGATTTCTCTCAAACACATACTTATTTTTACAGCAGAAAAAAAAAGTACTTTGCCTTTTCGTGTGGTTTGAATATTCGGCAGTGGTATAATTACAGTGTCCATGCATGTTTGTCCGGAACAAAGCTGAAGCAAAGGGTAAAGATGGACTTGTATGTCTGTGTGATTTTTGTCTTTTGTTTTTCTTTGCTTTTTGAGACACCTCCTTATACAGTCCTGGCTAGCCTGGAACTCACCAGGCCAGCCTCGGGCTTGTGACACTCCTGCCTCTGCCTCCTGAGGACTGCTGTTGGAGGCATGCAGTACAGTGGCCGGATTTGGTGTGGCTGACTGCTTTCTTCCGGCCAGAAGTGAGATGGTGCCTTGTCTCGTCTGTCTAGTAGATGAAGCAACGTGAAACATTTCTCTGTAGCGCGCTCTGTTATGTCTAACCAGTTATTAGCACCTCCGAGAATGTGGTGTGTGAAGGGGAACCAGTGTTCTGCGAAGTGTTTAGACACGAGCTTTCCCATTCACATTCACTGTCCCTCCCCGTTCACATTCACTGGGCTCCCCACAGAGGTGGGATCTGAGCTCACAGTCTCTCTTCTGCTCTCTTGCTGGGTGCCTCGTAAGATAGCTCCCGTGTATTGTTTATCGCTGACTTTGTTTCTTCTCTGCCTGTCATCTTAAGTTCCATGAGGATATGGTGTGGTTTTCTTTTGGTTGGGGAAATTTGTTTTGAGACAAGGTCTCTTCTCAGAGAGTGCTGGGATTGCAAGCATGCACCATTCTGCTCTGCTGCACTTGTAGTCTGTCGTGGAACTTTTTGTTGTTGTTGGTTTGTGTTAGTTTTGTTTTTCAAGACAGGGTTTCTCTGTGTGGTTTTGGTGCCTGTCCTGGATCTCGCTCTGTAGACCAGGCTGGCCTCGAACTCACAGAGATCCATCCACCTGCCTCTGCCTCCTGAGTGCTGGGATTAAAGGCGTGCACCACCACCACTGCCTGGAAATGTTTTTGTTTGTTTGGTTGTTTTTTGTTTGTTTTTCGAGACAAGGTTTCTTTGTGTAGTTTTGATACCTGTCCTGGATCTTGCTCTGTAGACCAGGCTGGCCTCGAACTCACAGAGATCTGCCTGCCTCTGCCTAGTGAGTGCTGAGATTAAAGGCGTGCGCCACCATGCCCAGCCTGCAGCTTCTGTTGCATCTGCTCTAACAGGTGCAAACACTGTTTCCATTGCTCTTCTGCCGTCCACAGCACTTGGACTTGTACCATAGTTGTTGTTGTTTAGTTGAAAAGGTTTATGACTTGTGATGTATACTGTCACTGTAATTTCCATAAGTATTTCATCTTAGTCACAGGGATGTAGGAAATGGCTGGTTTGTCATTGTTGCCAAGTCTAGTCTGCAGTGACGGGGTGGGGAGGTGGGAGGGGTGCATGTCTTTGAAGACGACCCAAGTGCCGTCGCTCTGCTCCCTTTGAAATTGGGTTACCGCTGTGTTTATAGATCTACATTTGCCTCTTGTTCAGTTTTTCTTTTTGTGGGGTTGGTGTGGTTCTTGAGACACGGTCTCACTATGTAGCCCTAGCTGTCCTGGAACTCACTGTCTAAACCAGCCTGACCTCAAACTCAAAGAGATCCGCCTTCCTCTGTCTACACCCCCAGCATTTGGTTACTTTTTGTAGACTCAGCCTTTTGACTAAAATCACATGCAAGTTGTGTAGTCTAGACATGTTATTTTTTTAAGGAATGTACGTATATGTGACCTTATTCAACCTGTTTATTAATGTGTATGTGTGTTTCTGTGTGTAGTTCTCAATGGAGCCCCTGGATTCATAAACTTGTGTGATGCTTTGAACGCCTGGCAGCTGGTGAAGGAACTCAGGCAGGCAGTAGACATCCCTGCTGCGGCTTCTTTCAAGCACGTCAGCCCAGCAGGTAAGGCACTGTGCTCCAGAACGCCCTAGAGGCTTGGGCTCTTTTGTTTCCTCTCTCTAGTTTTCTTGATTATCGGTAAGTTCTGATGCCAGTTGTCGAATCTGAACATCATAGGCCACTTTTGGCAAGTCTGTTGCTAATAGTGTCGATATCGTTATATACAACTGGGTAACATAATAAATACACGCATAATTATATGACATCAGGAGATGGAGAGATTGCACTATTGGCTCTTGCAGTGTCATTCTTAAGTTCAGAGATGAAAATGAAGTGATGTAATGGAACAGAGGCAGCCAACTGCTCTTCTGTGTCGGAAGTGTACCTTAGTAAAGATGAAGAGACGATTGTAGCATTCTGCTCCTGTTTCTGTTGAGTGAGCTTTTCCTTATTTCCATGATTGGGTTGTCCATAATGTCACAAGGTCTGCTTGTGGTCTAGCATGTCATTGTTCCTAATATTTATTAACTGCTAAAGGGAGATGAGTGAGGAAGGAGTCAATGGTCTGTGACACCAAGCAGAGTCAGGAATGCGGTGGTCCAGCTTCCTGCACAGGCCAGTGTGGTCAGGCTTTGGGCTCTGCTTTCGGAGGCCAGGGGGAAAGTGCCCCTGCCCTGTACTGTACGTGTGCTGTTTAATTACCTCACGGAGTGGTCTTTGTTTAATTTGGCACAAGTAGTAGAAGATATACTGCCTGGATGTTGGAAAAATACAGGCTAAGTCTCTGAAAAATGTGAATTTGAAAAATGTGAATTTTTTAAATGTGTTTTGTTTTCTTTATTTTGTGGTGCCGAGAGTTGAATCCCTGTCCTTGCATATGGTTCACCCCTAAGATACACCTCTAGCCCTTTAAAAAAAGTCTTTGGTGTCAAATTTGAAAAGTAGCAATTTGAGCTTTTAGGTTATTATTTTATGGCTTTCTAGAAAATTGTGTGTGTGTGCATGTAGGCAAGGAGGGCCTCGGCTGGTGCACAGCTATGCACTACATCTCCCCCTTTTGTCTAAATAAGAAAGCTCTAACCTAATACAAACTATATGCAATAGAAATGATTATTAAGTGTTGTCCAGGAGAGGGCAAAAGTAATAACATAAACAAAAACAGAAATACAACCAGCAAGAACAACATCAAACAAGAGACACATACTAAAACCCAGAAATGTCCAGACCATAGGTAAGTGGCATGTTACAGAGATTACTCCAATAGCTGTCCTACCCTGAAGATTCTAACTTTAGTGTCTAAAATGTTCTTAGCTAAGATATGAGAGGATTATAACTGTAACTATCTAGTCTTCAACACCTTCAGAGACCTGAAGGAAAATAATAATACCTGAGAAAACAGGAAGTGCAGGCAAGCAATTTCCAAAAAATTACAAGAATTGACAGAGACAGCTGACAGCCTGGACTAAAGATTTTCCGTGTTGTTGGGGCATCCATTTTGTCTGCAGGCCTAGAATATCTGACAGACCATTTTCAGAGGCAGAAATTTTGAAAGACCGTCTTACCCTGTCTTGGCAAGGTTCAGTAGTCATTGTCATGCTTGTCCGTGTCCACAGTCAAGGCAAGGGCAGTTCTTTGCTCAGCAGGCCATTTGGTGCCAAGAAGACAAACTTCCAAACGGAGTGTCTTTGAAACCCAACATTCTCTTGGGAGTAGATCGGTGCTGCCAGGAGCTATCGTGTCTCACATCAACAGAATTCTAAGTTATCAAAACATTTAAATGCTATATTCTGTAGATCTATAACGTGTTTGAAGATTACTTACCCATCTGACATATGTTTTTGTAAATCTGGAAAGCCTAACTAACATAACTATAGATATGACAAGCATGGGTGACTATTATTTTGTAAGTCTTATCTACCTAAATAACCTAAGGACTAAGACTTCACCTTAATGAGGTAAACAGTCTGTAAACATATGTATATTATAAAGACAATGACCTCAGAACTGTGAAAATGCACAAAATATCTTAAATGGAGGTAGAAATGTATAGTGCAATATGATAACAGTATCCTTAATTGTATCAATATACAAAATACCCTAAACAGGTAGAATATACATACAGTATGGCAAATATAATCTTACATTTGTATCAGTATACAAAATATTTCAAATAGGAGTAGGAACATGTGTACAGTATGACAGTTATAGTTTTGAATTTGTATCTATACAAATTATCTTAAATAGGAATATAAGAATAGTTTGCATTTTTATCACTATGCAAGAATCCACATTAGTGCAAATCATCTAAGGCTGATAGTTTACTGTCCACTACACTTGGTCAGCGCTTTACCTTGATGGGGTGGGGGTGCTGGGTTGGTACTTTACCTTGGCAGCGTGGGGGTGCTGGGTTGGTACTTTACCTTGGCGGCGTGGAGGTGCTGGGTTGGTACTTTACCTTGGCAGCGTGGGGGTGCTGGGTTGGTACTTTACCTTGGCGGCATGGGGGTGCTCGGTCGGTACTTTACCTTGGCGGCATGGGGGTGCTCGGTCGGTACTTTACTTTGGCGGGGTGGGGGTGCTCAGTCGGTACTTTACCTTGGCGGGGTGGGGGTGCTCAGTCCGTACTTTACCTTGGTAGGGTGGGGGTGCTCGGTCAGTGCCTTTCCTACCCACCACCATCACCAGCCCGACTTTCTGCTTCCTTTGCCAGGTGCCGCTGTTGGAGTTCCCCTCAGTGAAGACGAGGCCAGAGTCTGCATGGTCTATGACCTCTATCCGACCCTCACGCCTATGGCCACTGCATATGCAAGAGCAAGAGGTCAGAAGAGAGTTTGTCATTTAAAGGAAAAAGCAATGTTTTAGCCTTAATAGAATAAGAGTATAGGATTTAAATTTGTTTTTTAGTTAATACTTAAGATGAACATATTTATACAAAAGTGCATGTCAGTATTCTAATGTAATAAACAAACAATGAGATTGGTACAGTTTATTTTAGATTAGGTCTTTGAATACATTTTTATTATGAAAAAAATTGTAGTGTTATTCTAACCACTGAGTTTGGTTTGACTTGCACTTTACATACTCAGAAATACCAGAATCTTAGGTGTAATGACCAGCAGACACTAGTTCCTGAGGGATTTTGAGACACCTGGTTATCCGTTACAGCCAGAGGCAGCAACTGTAGCCTTGTGCTATTCTGTATACACACTCTGAGTGGATGGCGGCCACTGGCCTCCTTTAGTAGCTGGTGCTGGCCTACAACTAAGTGCTAATTTAGAAAGGAAAATGAGTGAATACTTTCTTACTGGTTATTTGACTGATATATTAACTCTGAGTAATAAAGGAAGCTTTAGAGAATATTCTTTTGTTTCCACATCACATATATAGTATGCCCACATTGTAGTAGCAGAGTTTGGGGAGATGCATGCCACACTCCAACGTGTTTATGGACCTGAAGGGATCAGAGGAAAAACTGGATTTGATCACATAGGTTTTTCTATGCAAGGATACTTTATGGCAAATCCCTTAACTTTCACTTACAGGGGCCGATAGGATGTCTTCATTTGGTGATTTTATTGCATTATCTGATGTTTGTGATGTCCCGACTGCAAAAATCATCTCCAGAGAAGTGAGTAGAGGTTCGGGTATTTTGATATGTGTAACAGAATAACTTGTTCCTAGGCTTCCTTGAATCTGTAGCCGACAGTGGCTGTCTGTACCAGCTCTTTACCATGTAGGATACTAAGATTATATGTGGAACACAAATCTTGACTTTTTGTTAATTTCGAGATTGAAGGTTTCAGGTGGATGTTTGTCTTGATGGGGGTTTTCATTATATGTTTAATTCTTCTAAATTCTCTGCTTTGTGGTTTTTCTGTTTTGTTTTATTGTTCTCCACCCCCCATCCCTAGATCAAGACAAGGTTTCTCTTTGTAACAATCCTGGCTGTCCTGGGACTTGCTTTGTAGACCAGGCTGGCCTCGAACTCACAGAGATCCACTGCCTCTGCCTCCCGAGTGCTGGGATTAAAGTTGTGCGTCACCACCATCCAGCTGCTGGATGCATCTTAATGCCAGAGTTACTGTTCTGAAAGGCAGAGCCATCTTGCACGATGAGGAAATAATAATGGACCTTGCTATAAACCCTTTAGAGACCTGAATGACTAGGGCGGAGGAACTTAGAAGAACTTTGATGAAGTAACCCTCATCAGTTAGCGCCAGACTAACTGCATCTCACCATTAGTGCTGGGAGGCAGAACCAGAAGAGGTAGCTCAGAAAGGAAATGGGGTGGGGGGAGGGGGGGGAGGCTGTGGCGTGGCGGGCAGTGTTTAGTTACTTTAGAGAATCTTTCTGTGGTCTTGAGCCATCCCAGCTGTGCTGGGCTGGCATGCCACTCCCAGGACTTGGCGACACTGAGACATCTGTGTCTCTAGTTGCAAGATGACAGACCTGGGATCTCTTTGTGTTCTCTGGAGCCAGGCTGGATGGAGCGTGCTCTCCAGTGCGGGCCTTAGCCCACTTCCTGAACAGACTAGCATCAGAATGAGTTTTCCTTCCCCGAGGCTCGTGTATTCAAGTCAGTCATCCGATTGTTCTTAGTTAAAACTAAGATTAACCACAGAAAATAGGATAGGATAGCTTGCAAAACAGAGTCAGCCCTAAAGAATAATTCTGTTGATAGTAATAGTGCATTACTTATGACAGCTAATTGTTGCTGTTTCTTAGAGAGTTGTTCTCTGATTTCTAAAAATAAGAATTATATCTAACGTATTTACAGGTGTCAGATGGTATTGTTGCCCCGGGATATGAAGAAGAAGCCTTGAAAATACTATCTAAAAAGAAGAATGGAAACTACTGTGTTCTTCAGGTCAGAGCAGTTCCTAAATTAGGCGGTAATTTAGTCTTCAGTTTCACATTGTGCTCTTTTCCCGTGAATCTTTCCTATAAACATCTTTCAGATTTACCCCTCTCTAGTGTACTGGTCTCTGTCCTTTTTCCCCTGGTCTTCTTTCTTTCTGAGATAGGGTGGTACTCTGTAGCTCAAGGCTGCCTCAAGCGCACAGCATTCCCTGTGCTGGGTTAGCCGTTTAGAGCTGCACCCCAGACTCCTCCGTTCTTACTGTTTGTTTATGAAACCTTTGGCTGGCCGAGAACTCAGAGCTCCGCCTGCCTCTGCCTCCCAGAGCTGTGATTAAAGGTGTGTGCCACCATACCTACCTTTATTCTTAATCTTATTTTTTTATACAGGTGGTTTGCGGGATCTAAGATTCTTTCCTTTGTTTCTTTTTTTAAATTTTATTTACATGCTTGCTTGTTCAAATGTTACTGTTAACATGGCAGAAAACCTCCGCCCTAAGTGACTGCTCTAAATTTCTTCTTTGTCCTTCCAGAAATAGAGCATATTCCACCAGTGTTTTTATCTGCACTCTTTTCTTTCTTTCGGTTTTTCGAGACAGGGTTTCTCTGTGTAGACCAGGTTGGCCTGGAACTCACTCTGTAGACCAGTCTGGCCTCGCTGCCTCTGCCTCCCGAGTGCTGGGATTAGAGGCGTGGCCACCACCGCTCGGCTTCTTTGGTTTCTCACTCATGTCCCCTGCTTCCCACCTTGCAGTTTGTCTCATGTCTTTATATAATGTATCTAAGTCCCAAGAGAAACAGGGTGGGTCCAAGCTGTGTGTATGGAAGACTCTACGCTGCCCCTGTAGAAAGTGGGCAGCAACCTCAGTGTCCTCGTGGGCATGATGACAAAAGTGGCATCTCACATTCACCGAGTGAGCCTCTTCGTGTGTGGGGGGCCGGGTGGTATTTTTCAGATGAAAGCTATAATTCTTGGTTTTTCCAGTTTTGTGTTATTTGGTTTTTTTGGTTTTGTTTTGGTTGTTTTTTTTTTTTTTTTTCCATTTATTTTTGCTGTGCTGAGAATTGAGCTGGGGATCCTTGTGCATGTTAGACAGAAACTCAACTACTGAGCCACGTCCCCAGCCCTTCTTCTGTTACTTATCACGAGACAAAGTCTTACCAAGTTGCCCAGGCTAGCCTTGAGCTGACTCACTTTGTAGCTGAGGCAGGCCTTGGGCTTGCAGTCCTCCTAAGCCCTCCCAGGAAGCTAGAGTGACCGGCATGTGCCACTAGGCCAGAACCTGTTTTTTATTTGTAATTCAAATATTAACTAAATTTCTGTAACAGATTTTTAGGAAGAAAGGAAAAATAGAATGTAAATTTTGTGCCTCAACCTGTTCTGGCGAGTCTGTGTTATATGCGTATCTAGGAAAGGACCTGAAGGGGTGGTAACCTGTGGTTAACATAACAGTGTGTCTGTGGTGACCTGTGGTTAACATAACAGTGTGTCCGTGGTGATCAGTGATTTTGGTGCCTGGCCACTGTATTATGCCCATACTAAATGATGTCATCACACATCTTCTTGTTAGGAGAATGAGTGTAACTCAAGAGTGAAGTCTTTCCTTTGCTAGTGTTTGGTCCTGTTTTCTGAGACATGGTTTGGCTGTGTAGCTCAGACTGGCCTGGAACTCACTGTGACCCAGGCTGATCTCTAACCTGACGTGCCCCTGCCACATCATCCCAGGTACACTGGGATTACAGGCGTATACCACCATGCCCAACAAGAAGGGACATTTTCGTATGGAAAATTTAAGACTAGAGATGTAATGCTTGTAACTTTTAAAATTTGTGTCCTAGATGGACCAGTCCTACCAACCGGATGAAAATGAAGTTCGAACACTCTTTGGTCTTCGTTTAAGCCAGAAGAGAAATAATGGTGTCATCGACAAGTCCTTATTTAGCAATATTGTCACCAAGAACAAAGATGTAAGTTTGAAAATGTCTAAACCAAATGCTAATAACATGTCTGTCTTCAGTATATATAAGCTTATCATTTATTAAGGTCCATGTTTTAATTGGTAGATATGCAAGCAGCTAGCTCATCTTTGAGATGTCAGGTAAGCCGGACACATTAGAAGCATGTCTGTATATATGTACATACATCGAAATAAGTGTCTTCAATCATACTAAGTGGATTGTGTCATCTGTAGCTGCATACATTAGGTTACAGATGTTTCTCTCTGTTGATGAGTGTTGCTTCAAATCGGTGAAAAGCCACATGACAACCCAAGTGTAGAGATCTGTGCCAAGATGGGTATGTAGGCCGTTTCCTCTTTCACGGCTTGCTAATTGTTTTTAATGGGAACAAGTTCTGTGTTGTTTTTTTGTCAGCCTGTAGAAGCGGTCTGTCCTTGGGATAATGATGACTGGGGAGAAGTGCTCACATGGTGTATTCCATTCAGTCCCAGTGGTTATGGGAGAATGGAATAGCCTCTGTATTGTAAAAATTACAGAGTTGGGACAGAAAATAGCTAAATCTGTCTAAAGTTACAAGGTAGGGAAATGAATGTGTGTGTGTGTGTGTGTGTGTGTGTGTGTGTGTGTGTAACATTTTCTCTGCATCTTTTTCCGTCAATGTGAGTTGTGGGCCTGCTTCTCTCTGCTTCTGGAGGGGACTGGTCTCTTCACAGACAGGTCATTGTAGCAAGAGCGGAAGATAGAGGGGGTCTGAGACTGCTCTGGTCTTGATTGCTGGGCAAGGGAAGCTGAACACACGAAGTCTTACCCTTTTTACAAATAGTGCTTCAGTTGGTTGAGTTTCCATACACACACACACACACACACACACACACACACACACACACACACACACAGGCCTTTCTCATATCCTTTGATTTAACTCGGAATGCCAGGGCTATATTTGAAGGTGACTTCTAAGGGACTAGCTTTCTGTGGAGTCAGATTGTACTTGTTGACTCAAACAAAAGATGAAGGACATATGAATGTCTTAGAATAATAAATTCTTTTAAAGATCTTTTTACAACTATGGATTTTGAGATTTAAAAGGTGTAGGTTCACTGCAGGTGCTGGGTTCTCCTGTGCGCCTTACTCCGTTCCTCTTTGACAGAGTAGTAGCTTAATTTGGATGATGTAGTGGTGTTTGCTCCACCCATGACCTTGGACTATGGGGCCTGAAGGAGATGGTGTTTCTCCGTTGTATGTGACCTCTTAAAAGGAAAGGGAGAGGGGTCACATGGTTCCTTCTTACATTTATCATCCATCCATCCATCCATCCATCCATCCATCCATCCATCTATCTATCTATCTATCTATCTATCTATCTTCTAGCCTGGCATGATCAGGCTCCAGACGACCTGGGAATTGAACCCAGTTCCTCTGGAACATCAGTCGGTGCTCATAACCGCTGAGCCACCTCTCTCCTTCTGGCAGTGGTTACAAGGACTGGCCTACAGGCTCCCCGCATAGCCACTGTGGTCACCTGAGCAGGGGTCAGGCTTTCCTGTGGGGTTTGGGCTGCATGCGGGTGTGGGTGTGGGTGTGGGTGGGCTCTGCAGGGCAGAGAAACTCACCAGCAGCCGCCCAAGAGCATTAGGGTTTGGTCAAGCGACTGGGGGCCTGGGGCTCAGATCCACATGGTTGGGCCAGATAATGCTATAAATCCACAGGAGTCTGCTTAAGGAATGTTAGGGAAATTTATTAGGGTAAATTGAAGGAATACAGAACCAAGTAGACACTGAAGTTGTCCTCTGATCTGACCGGGAGGGAATCCACCTGGCAGTTCAGTCAGACCAGGAAGCAGGCAGCAGGGAGAAGGGGCTGGTGACCCTTTTAAGAGGTCACGTACAATGGAGAAGCACAGCCTCCTTCAGGCCCTATAGCCCAAGGTCATGGACAGAGCAAATACCACTACAGGATGAAGCCAAGCTTACATTTTTGTTTATTTTTAAATTTTAAGATTTTCACTGCATGTATTCATTACATGCGATACATTGTAACGTAAAGACATTTTCACACAGTATGTATTGTATGTTGACCATAGCCCCACACACACATACTCTTTTTGCAGAATGTTTTAAAATAGATTCTTACAGTGTTCTCAGCAAAACATAAAATGGTATAATTTGACTTTTCCAGAACAGCGTTGGTTGGGTGTATATCACAGTAGTGTGTAACACATGAAATTTAACCTCATATTAGTTCTGATCCTAAGTCTTACATCCTCAGTTATGAAGTCACTCTGGACAAAAGGTAATCGTTTTAAAATAAGTACACTATTCCCATCTTGTTGAACAGTTGCCATTAGTTTGAGGGTGACACACGGGACACTGCACTCCATCAGTCGCAGATCTGCTAACATGCTTCAGTCTTTCGTGAAGCATGGCAGCAGCGTGCGGTATGACTCGGTCATCTGGCTGCCAGTGAGGGACCTGCGTGTTACACTGGTGTCGCCATAGCTTAACGCTAATGAGGTTTCGAAAGCCTGGTGAGACTTAAGCGTCCTGTGTGTTTCAGCTGCCGGAGTCTGCCCTCAGAGACCTCATTGTAGCCACTGTGGCCGTCAAGTACACTCAGTCCAACTCCGTGTGCTACGCCAAGGACGGACAGGTAACCGCGCCGTCAGCCCATCTCACAGGCACTGCTGTTTACAGTACTCAGAAGCCCGTCTGTCTCGGGTACTAGGTGCTTGAAAGAGAAGACTTGCCATGTTTCTCTTCCTGCCTGGTAGACTTAAAACTAGTGAGAACGAAGTCAGCAGCCCCAGAGCCGAGCCCTGCTGGTTCTTGCTTGGAGTGAGCTGGCTGCTTTTGGTTTAGCGGAACTGATTTCTCCACCCCCAACCCCTCACTGGTGGTATTCCACTGACAGGGAATGAGGGAGGAAAGAAGGGCTGTGTGTGTGCAGCCTGCAGGGGTTTTGACGTGTTTCTAACGTTGTCTTTGGGAGTCCAAGCCAGTGCCCATGTGTACCAGGCAGTTGGGCTGCCACAAGCTGGGCCCCGCCTCCTGTGCTGTGTTTCCAGGAATTTGTGGAAAGGGCAGCAAGGCTAGGCATCAACCTGAACTGTTGTTGAGATGGTCCTTGGACTCCCAGAGTTCCTCTTGCCCTGCCCCTGCCTTGTTAATGCCTGCATTATTAAGAATAATTTGAACACAGTGAAATTTACCTTTTTTTTTTTTTTTTTTAACAGCTTACGTGGTTGTGTGGCCACTGTTGCAGACAAGATAGATTACCCCCAACTTTTTTCAAATTATTTTTCTTTAATGGCATTGGTGTTTTACCTGCATGTATGTCTGTGTGAGGGTGTTGGGTGCCCTGGAACTGGAGTTACAGACAGTTATGAGCTGCCATATGGGTGCTGGGAATTGAACCCAGGTCCTCTGGAAGAGCAGTCAGTGTTCTTGACCGCTGAGCCATCTTTCCAGTCCCAGATCATTCCAAATTAAAATAACTGAAACTGGGGCATTTCAACTTAAGGACCAAAGAATATTCATATTAACCATTTATTTTTGCTTTCAGTACAGTGAATTTGCATGAGACTATTGGTTTAAATATTAAGGCAACTCCGCGTAGTTAAAAGGGAGGTTTATTTTGTGGGGTAACTTACAAGTGAAGGGATAGGTTGCAGGGTCTGGGACAGGTGAAGCGCAGTCCCGCAGTGTTCTCTGGAGAACTCTGCTCGGTCTACCTTCAGCGTCCAGGATCCAGGAACCAAGAGATCCGACCCATCCAGATCTCGGGTCTTCAGGGGTCCTCTCTTGGCTCCGCCTTGTAGGCGCGACAGTTACCGAAGCCTCAATGGAGGTGGTACTTACAGGTCAAAGCTGGAACAGCTACCCCACTACATGAGGCTATTTACCATTTGGTTATTTTGTTTGGTTTTGTTCTTGTTTTTGCTTTTTGAGACAGGGTCTCACTTTGTAGCCTTGGCTGGCCTGCAACTCACTCTGTAGACCAGGATGGCCTTGAATTCATAAAGATGTGCCTGCCTCTACCTCCCAAGTGCAGGGATTAAAGTCATGCACCACCACTCCCAGCTACCACATGGTTCTAAACTAGACCTAGACTGGATGGTTTTGCTCAACTAAAGTCCATATTCTGGGACTGTAAAGTAGACTGTGCTAACCTATAGTGTTGGTTGGGTGAGGGAATTTATTAGTACATTTTCTTATGACATCTTCAACTTACCCTGGATTCATTGGGACATAAAACCTTAACCATTGTTAAGGTTAGGCAGTATCTCTATTGAGTATTTATTTTTAATGAATTTTTTAATCTTTTTTTGTTCGGGGAAAGGGAGGATATGGGGGGATAGGGTCTGAGGCTGTGAACATACCATGACATACATGTTAGATCTCAGGACAACATTGGGTGTCTGTACTTCTGCTGTGTGGGTTACAGGACTCACACTGGGTTGCTAAGCATGTAGTGTAGGTGCGTGTACCTGCTGAGCCATTTAGCCAGCTCCTGTAGTGAACATCTCTCAACCATGTGTCCCAGCCATGGGATGCAGCAGTGACCCAGCTCATCACGAGGGTCTTTCCTAACTTGTGCGCTTGGTTTGACCACAGCTTCAGCAGCACGCTCCAGTTTATCTTCTGGTCTTCTGGCATTTTTACATGTTTAAACCACAGGTGACAGTTGTGATGGCTGTTGGGACCAAAGAGATACTAGTATGTGATTCAGAAGGCTTTTCGTGGACGCCAACTATTAAGATTGTTGGTTCGGGCTGGAGAGATAGCTCAGCAGTTAAGAGCTTTGGCTGTTCTTCCAGAGGTCTTGAGTTCAATTCCCAGCACCCACATGGTGGCTCACAACCATCTATAATGAGATCTGGTGCCCTCTTCTAGCCTGCAGGTCTACATGCAGACAGAGTACTGCATAATTAATTAATAGATAGATAGATAGATAGATAGATAGATAGATAGATAGATAGATAGATAGATAGATAGATAAAAAAGATTGTTGGTTCTTGTCACACAATCCTGGCTGGTTGTAGACACTGGTCCTCGGGCAGGGTCTCTGAGGAGCCAGCAAAGCCACTCAGAATGGACGCTTTTCTGCCGGCATCTTTTAAAGGGAAGTGTCTGTTCTCAGGTTGTCGGCATCGGAGCAGGGCAGCAGTCCCGGATACACTGCACACGCCTTGCAGGGGATAAGGCAAACTCGTGGTGGCTCCGACACCATCCACGGGTGCTTTCCATGAAGTTTAAAACCGGGGTGAAGAGAGCGGAAATTTCCAATGCCATTGATCAGTATGTGACGGGCACCATTGGTGAGGTACGGGCTGCTTGAGGTCCAGGGGGACTGGGTTGATCCTTCAGTGTTTCGGACAGACTTTCACAGTATTACTACAGAGAGACCGTCTTGAAATCCTGCACTGTCTGAAATTGTTAAGATAGCTTGTAATCCCCGTCACCTTCGCTGCCGCCCCCTTTCTGAAGCCATGAGCCTCTGTTTCCTGGGTTATGAAGATTGGATTAACTTGTGGGCCCATGCTGCTTCCCCTGCGGGTTATAATATTGTCATTGCAAGGACTGTTCTCCACCCGTCTCCGGCTGTCAGCAGAGGTTTGCTGCCTGGTAGTGTGTATCCACTTGAACTGTAATGCTCACCAGGGGCTTTCTCCTACCACACCTACCAAGGCCATTAGCAAGTTAGTGTGGTTTGGGTACCTTTTCTGTTTCTTAACAAGAATGTTCTTAAGGCACAGTCTCCTTATGATGACTGCCTTTTTTAAGTTTTGTTTGAGATGAGGTCTTCTCTGTAGTGCAGGCTGACCTGAACTCAGCTCCCAGGCTGGGATTACAGGCTTGTTCCACCTCGACCTGCCGAAGGCCTTGCGTCTTCATACCTTTACACTAGGGGTTACATTTCAGTATAAACTTCAGGGGTAATACAAACATCCAGGCAGTCGTAACTACCATGAATTGTTCTGATTTGCCTACAGCTGACTGCACCTGAGATAGTTGTATATGTGTACTTCATCTATGAAAACACCAGTATCATCATCTTCCTAGATTACAATGAAGAATTGTCTTAAATGTTTTGGTGAAGGTATATAGACATACAGATTTAACTTAGAGATTTTGGGAACACGGTAGGTTTGAGATAAACTGAGTTACAAAATTAAGATATAATCTCTTTGGTGATCTAAGAATGACCTTTCCTTCGTGAAAATGTTTTTAAGCATCAAAGAGCTTCTGAAGACAGGAACTTGGGTGTGGCATTGTTTAGTGAGCAGTGCTAGGAAAATGCCCGGGTGGTTTCTGCATTGTGCTTTCCACTGGATAAAGCTGCTGGTGATGCTGAGCCCCCTTGCTCCCTGGCCCCCTAGGGAGAAGACCTGGTGAAGTGGAAGGCACAGTTCGAGGAAGTCCCCGAGTTACTCACCGAGGCGGAGAAGAAGGAATGGGTGGACAAGCTGAGTGGTGTTTCTGTCAGCTCTGATGCCTTCTTTCCTTTCAGGGATAATGTAGACCGAGCTAAAAGGGTAAGTGAGAATCGGTGTGAGTTGGGGACACAGAATCGTAGAAACAATTTCAGCCCTTTTGAGGCTGGGAATGTAGTATAGAACACCTGGCCTCAGGTTCAATCCCAGTACCACAAAAAAGTTGTACCAGGCGGTGGTGGCGCACGCCTTTAATCCCAGCACTTGGGAGGCAGAGATAGGCGGATCTCTGTGAATTCAAGGCCAGCCTGATCTACAGAGCAAGTTCCAGGATAGCAAGAGCTACATAGAGAAACCCTGTCTCAAAAAACCAAAAAAATAAAAAGTTGTGCTTCTGTTGTTTTAAGCTACTTGGAGTTGTGTTTTAAAGCTGTGTTGATTTGATACAAGTGGAGAATTATTTCACTTTTCTGTGTGATGTAGGCATAACCCAAATTCTATTGCTTTGCCTAAATATGTCATTGTTAGCTTATGCTTTTTTAAAAAGATGTTTTATTTTTATTTATGATCAAATTTTATCATACATAATTGTGATTGTTTGGATTCTGTGTGTGTGTGTGTGTGTGTGTGTGTGTGTGTGTGTGTGTGTGTGTGTGTGTGTGTGTGTACCTGCCTGGTGCCCAGGGAGGCCAGAAGAGGCCACCAGAAACCCTAGAACTGGAGTCACCGATGGTTGTGAGCTGCTATGTGGGTGCTGGGAACCAAACTAATTTTTTTGTTTTTTTGGGTTTTGTGTGTGTGTGTTTGTGTTTTGTTTTTGTAAGAATAGCTAGTGCTCTGAACCACTGAGCCATCTTTTCTACCCCTGGCTTCTGCTTTTTGGAGGGGAATTTTGTTTTTTCCTGGGTATGCAGGTCATTGTGTTTTGAAAGTCAACACAGGTTTTGGAACTTCCCTCTGCAGAGTGGTGTGGCCTACATTGTCGCTCCGTCTGGATCCGCTGCAGACAAGGTTGTGATCGAGGCGTGCGATGAACTGGGGATCGTCTTGGCTCATACGGACCTCCGACTCTTTCACCACTGATCTCAGTTTCTGTTCTTTCCTGCTTTACTTATGTGCAGTGGCTAATCATGTGTGGGATTTTTAAAGCACCTTTTAGAAAATGAGTCGTTTGCATCTTAATAAGTGGGTCTGTGGTTTTAGGTAGTTGGGTCTTACTTATCTGAAAGGTATAGACTCCTAGAGGTTTGTGTGTGCAGAACCTAAAAGCATCCCTCCCTCCTGGAGCTCAGCTTTTGAGACAGTCCCGTGTGGTATCTAAAAGTGCAGATAAGCCGGAGAAGCCAAGCTGCCTTATGATGACACATCCCCACTTGGGATTGCTCTCCACAGGGCTCTTTTCATCGTGCCTCTGATTGTTTACCTCCTTGACAAACAGCCAGTTACCCCTGGGAACTGGATCCTTAGCAGGATCTGGATAATGCTGATACTGCTTTTCCTTTCTTAGGTGAAGTGTTGTTCGTATTTCGGCACCCGTGATCTTCCCTCCAGAACTGCTTAAAACTCTTATTAGCTATTTAGTAATTAGGTACTTATTTGGTACCCACAAGTGGACCCGGTGTTTTACTTAGAGCCAAAAGTGAACATGGGGGTGTGTGTGTGTGATGGGTGGGGTGGGGGGGGGGGGGGGGGGGAAGGGCGGGCCTCCCTGTGCCGGACGTAAGTGGATCTGTGTCCCTGCCTTTGTGGTCCTGACAGGGATGGTGCCTGTGGGCAGCTGTAACCTTCAGTCAGTCAGCCTCAGCCCTGCCTTCATTCCACTCCTCCCCTAAATAAACAATGCAGAAGGGTTTTGGTGGTGTGTGTTTGTTTTGTATTTCAAGACAAGGTTTCTCTGTAGCTCTAGCTGTCCTGGAACTTGCTCTGTAGATGAGTCTGGTCTCAAAACCAGAGATTGCCTGCCTCTGCCTTCAAGCTCTTGATTAAAGGTGTGCGCCACCACTCCCATTACAGAAACTTTTATAAGCAATCATGTTTGTGAGTCATTATATGCTGACTGATCTTCCAGCTCTGGGAATAGCCCATTGAAATAAATCATATTTAAGTAATTAGTAAAATCCTGTGGCTTCTGTGTTAGGTCACAGGGCAGGAATCCCTCAGAGTAAACAAACCATCTTGTGTATGCTAACTGCCAGCCCTGCCATGAGACATCTTAGACATGGATCTTTCTGCTCCAACCTCTGCCCACATTTGGCTTCTACCTCTTGAGGGGCATCTGAGTCAACTTTGTGCTGATGATCTGTTGCCGTACTAGGGACCAGAACCTGGGGCCTTCATGCTAAGCAAACGTTCTACTACTAAGCTGTAACCTCAGCCTCAGTGGAATGCCTTAATTCCCAACTCACAGACACATACTGTTGGCCACAGCATTTTTAACTCATTTTTTGTAGCAATAAATAGCGAGTAGATGTTGGCTCATAAATTATTAAATGTGCTGTCTCCCTTGAGTTATTTAGCTTGACTGAAAGTGAACATTAAAATGTAATTGGAACCATTTTTCTACTTAACCCTATACTGCCTCATTAGGCTTACACATGTAATGCTAACCATGACCCTTTTGAGTGTTTAAACTATTGTGCCCACACACCTGGGAAGGGATGGTGGGATTCCAGCTTTCACATAATCTTACTGCAAATAAAATAGTGATAGGGAATGGACTAGTTTAATATTTTTCACAACAATTAAATGTTACGTAGAACCGTTTTTAACAGTTTATAAGCATGGTTAATCGACAGAAAACCTGCCTGCATGACGTCGTCATAGGCCACAAATCCCAGCACTTGGAAGACAGGACAGGGGATGGGGAGATTGATGTCTGTCTGGACCATGTTGTCACATGTCAAAAAAGATTAAAAAGAGGATCTTCATAGTTGATTCCACAGAGTCCTTTGACCTAAGTGTTGTGTTCAATTTTAAATTGTGATTTTTTTTTTTCTTTTCTTGCCAGTGATGTTCAGTACATCACTCAGGTCGGACAACAGCAAAAACACCTCCCAGGTGGACACTCAGGGTATGGACAATGAGTGCCCCCACAGTGTACTGTTGGTAAGCCATGAGGTCAAAAAGGTCATCTTCCATGTAGGCTATTTCCAAGTTAAGATGAGATTATCAGAACTCAGCTCTGTCATATCTTAAAGAGCATGTGCATTCTGAGCAGGTGATCATCCCACATCACCTCCATTATACTTCTGTCCCATCTGTGGGTACCTTCACATCAGGAGTTACATGTTTAATGCTCAACATTGCTGCTTTTGTTGGAGTTTGTATTCTAGCATATTTTCAAATTCTCTTCCAAAATATGTTGGAGTGTTGTTCCTGCTCGTCCTTGCCCACAACCAGGCAGAGCTTGGGGCAGGATAGTTGATGCGTCCTCCCTTCAGGAGCAAGAGTTTCCGGTGAAACCATGGAAATTGCCCCATACAACGTCTGTTGATCGGTTCTTCACAAAAGTTGAGGGTTGTCAGCAGGTCCCTTTCCTGCTTATCTTCCACCACCCTGCCACACAGGCCAAAGCATCACTCCTCCCAAGCCCATGTCCCTGATGCCTCCTTGATTCTGTGGCTTAGTTTCCCTTTTTGTACTAGGTGTAACTTGGTGGAGGTAGCCGGGTCAAGAAGTGCATCACTGGCAGAGTCTTAACAGCGAACCAACTAAGTCTTTCCTAAAGTGACTAGAGAATTCATAACTATATATGTGTGATGAGACTGCCTTCAATAAATGGAAACTAAAACTGTTTAAATGAAAAGCATAGTGATATATCCTGTTTCAGTGGTTCAGAAGACCCATAGCATAAAATACCTGGATCATTAATGGATGTACTTAACGTTGGGGTGCTGCTGAGCACTGAAGAAACCCACCCAGACCCATTAGAGGTACCCTTTACTCCTTGTTACCTGGTCCCATGACGCTTCCTTCTGGAGTTACCTTTCTAAAGCTATCAGCATTCCTTAAACCCTGAAAGGCTTTAAATGCCCAGATTCGTGGATACTCTTAAACCTTGTTTTTGCTGAACACCGTGCTAGGCAGGAGTTTATCTTAACTTGTAAGAAGTCCTCCATCCGAGAAAGTGTGAAACACTTCTGTTGACATCAGCAGTGAAGCCCAGAGGTAGGACTTTTCCAGCATCCCCTACACACACACACACACACACACACACACACACACACACACACACACACCCCATTCCTGTTCTTCATCATGGCCCCATCTTTTTCTCCAGGAGATTATCTACCTGCCTTTTAGGATAATCACCTTGTTTACTACTCAGCAGCTGAGTAATCTTTTTTTATATAATTATTTAATTTTATTTTATGTGCATTGGTGTGAGGATGTCAGATCTCCTGTAACTAGAGTTACAGACAGTTGTGAGCTGCCATGTGGGTGCTGGGATTGAACCTGGGTCCTCTGGAGGAGCCAGTGCTCTTAACCACTGAGCCATCTCTCCGGCCCCAGCTGAGTAATCTTGACTGTGCATCTTGACCTCCCATCCTTTGCAGACTGCAGAATGAGTTTGGGTAGTCTGGTTCAAGTCTCACTTGTGGTACTTGCCACCTATGTGACAGTTGCTGGTTCCTGTAGCCTCATGCCTAACTGTAGGCTGTAGCAATGATGGTAATTGATGTTCTGAGGAATCAATGAGATAAAATAAAAGACTCGCAGTTCTACCTGTCACATGTTCAACACTGTTTAGGAAACAATGCTAGCTGTTATTTTCACATTGTTTTTGTGCATGTGGAAGTATGGGAGGTAGTGGGAGAAAACGATGGATGGAAATGACCATGAAAAATACTAAGGTCATGTTAAAGACTTTCGTAACAGCAATTTTTTCTTTATTAAGATAAGTCGTCATTTTGTACAGCTGAGGAGATGGCTCTGTGGGTAGGAGTACACTTGCTGCATAGGCATGAGGACCCCTAAAAAGAAGGATGTGTTCACAGATACCTTGCCCTTAGCACCAGGGGTGGAGAGGTAGGGTAAGACAGGAGCATTTGGGAAGATTGTGGAATTTTAGGCCACCAGCCTAGCCAAAAAATGGCAAGTCCAATGGGGTACTCCTTCTCAATGGAATAAAGCGAAGAATGATAGAAGAGGACACCAGTCAACCTCTGGTTTCATGTGTACCCCCAACACACATGGAATTATACATAAGCATACATCATACACAAAATTCATCGAAGCCCTGATGCAAGGTGCTCACTGGTGGAACCCTGGGCCCCCTGTCCACTAGATCCGGTGGAGCTTGCATGGTTCACGGCCTACAGAACGGGTGACTACAGACCTAGACCCACCCAGGCCAGGGCAGAGTGCTGACAGTGACCCCAGACGGCCTGCCTGTGCACCCTCCCACCCAGAGGCTCACAAGAGCTATTTTAGAGGTAAATGTGGCTCCGAGGGTTGTTAAAACCCCTCTGTCTCTGAAGAATAAGCAGTGAGAAATTTAAGGAAATGTAAAGCATGCCTTCATGTCTCATACCTGACTACTGAGGAATGTTAAGAGGAATTTCCTGTTTGGGGATTTTAGCTGGAGAACAGTTTCTCGGTTCTTTTATTACTTAGAGTGTTCCCTTCATTTGTAATTTATGGAGGGTTTTTTTTTTTTAACAATACAAATAAAATCTTTTAATGAAAGTAGAATAGGATGGTGTTGATAAAAATAACATTTCAAATGAAAGTGCCAAAGAATCTTTAAAGAGTGTGTGTGTGCGCGTGTGTGTGCACGCACTACAGCATGCATGTGGAGGTCAGAGGACACCTACAGGAGTCAGTTCTCTCCACCATGTGGGTCCCAAAGATTGAACTCAGGTTATGAGACTTGGCCACCAGCACCTTTTCCTGAGTGATCCCAGGGCTCCCCCTCCTGAGTTGTCAAGAACTTGGATAATCTGTGCAAGGTCACCTTCCTGCGGCTTCTGCTTTCGCAGCGTCTGGTAGTCTTTAGATCTCCTTCCCTAACTCGAGAAGTCCCAACAATGCTTTTCTTTTTTAACAGTTGAACTGCATCCCTGAGTGTGAGACTTTAAAAAATGGTAGCCTGCCACTTTCCCTACTGCGGTACTAGGAACTTCCTGAATAGGAGGCGATTGCAGCACTTAAATGTGCTGATGGG